GTCTGTTCTTCCTCCACAGGCAGCTCCACACCCCCACCAACCTCCTCCTCCTCTCCCTGGCCGTTTCGGACTTCTTTGTGGGGCTCCTCATGTCCTTCCAGATCATGCTGATCAACGGCTGCTGGTTCCTGGGGGAGGCCCTGTGCGTTCTGTATCAGTACCTGGCCTACACCATCACAGCGGCCTCCACAGGAACCATGGTGATCATTTCTATCGACCGTTACGTGGCCGTGTGCTACCCTCTGCACTACCCCAGCAAAGTCACGCAGAAAAGAGTGAAAATCTGCGTCTGTGTGTGTTGGATCTGCTCCGCCTTGGTCCAGTTTCTGATCCTGAAGGATGACATCAGGCAGCCGGGCCGGTTCAACTCCTGCCTGGGGGAGTGCATCATCGTGGTGAACTACATAGTGGGATACGTCGATATGACCTTCTCCTTCCTGGTTCCCATCACTGTGATAGTAGTTCTGTATCTCAGGGTGTTTGTGGTGGCGGTGTCTCAGGCTCGGGCCATGCGCTCTCATATCGCTGCCACCCACCTCCAGAGCTCAGTAACTGTTAAAAAGTCTGAGCTGAAAGCAGCCAGGACTCTGGGGATTGTTGTGCTTGTGTTTCTTGTCTGCATGTGTCCGTATTTCTGCGTGGCCATCACCGGACAGGATCACCTGCTCAATGCCGCGTCTGCTACGTTTGTGATATTCCTCATTTATCTGAACTCCTGCCTGAACCCCATCATTTACACGTTTGTTTACTCCTGGTTCAGAAAATCGATGAAACTCATTGTGACCCTTCAGATCCTGAAGCCTGACTCCTCTGACATCAGCATCATGTAGAGACGCTGACCAGACCAACAGGAAACCGGCTTCATATGTAACAGGATGATGTACAGGACTGTCTCAGAAAATTACATTCTGGATTCATTACAAATCAACTGAAATATCGCAAGCCTTTTATTGTTTTAATATAGCTGATTATGGCGTACAGCTGAAGAAAACTCAAAAATCAGATATTCTAATATTTTGAGATAGGATATATGGGTTTCTTAAGCTGTAAGCCATAATCAGCTATATTAAAACAATAAAAGGCTTGCGATATTTCAGTTGATTTGTAATGAATGCAGAATGTATGACATTTCATGTTTTTTAATTGCATTACAGAAAATAAAGAACTTTATCACAATATTCTAATTTTCTGAGACAGTCCTGTATAATGTAGGTTCATAAATAATTTTATGCTTAATAAGTTCACTAGAGGCAAAAAAGTGAGAAGAAAAAACACGTTGAAATGCTGCTGATGTGTTTCTGCTTTGTGCACATTAATGTTTAACATGTTAGAATTGTGCTGAAATTACATGGTTTGTATCCGCATTAGAAGAAGAGTGTCTAAACTGTAAATGAATAAAGTCTGAAAGTGATTAACTAGACAAAAACTTCTTTATATAGTTGTCCACAGGTTCATTATATATTCTATATTTGTATAACTATATAAAACATAATCATAATTGTATCTCATATAATATTTGAGTTTCACAAAGCATAACAATACATTCCTTTATTTATTCCTTGGAATGTTTTGTATATATTTAATAGATGTATTTAATAGATATATATATAAAACCTAATCATAATGATATATAATATAGTAATTTCAGCCTCACAAAGCATAACAATACATTTTATTCCTTTATTTATTCCTTGCAGTGTTTTCAGTTATTTAAAAAAACAGAATGTCAAAAGTCATCTTTCAGTACAGATTTATTATGTGTAATATGGAAGCATGTGGAGGCCCCCGTAACCTCCAGGAGGGCGTGCACACAAAAAGATGAACAAACACAAGCATCTATTCAGGGAAAACCTCAGTTTAAAGCGGGGGGGGGGGGGTCTGACTCTGGGCCTTCTCCCCAAAGCCCCTCATCCTCCACAGAATCAGCAACATTTCACACCAAAAAAACAGCTCCTCCTCACGTCCTCCCTCCTCCTACCGGCAGCTTCCAACCTCAGAGGGGGGGGGGGGGTCCTAATTATTGTGTTTCTCTCACAGATCAGGAGAGGATGCTCAATGCTCCCTCTGCAGCCTTCTCCCGTTTACATCACGTTTCATCATGGTCACGTTTAGGTCACAAAAAAAGGAGGATAAAAAAAGGGTCACTCATAACTCTGCCAGAGTGAAACAATGCTCACTGAGTTAAAGAGCAGATTTCCCTTTTTAGAGCAGAATAATGTAGAAAATATTGATTCAATTGCAAAGAGTCAAACAAAGACTTCAGATAAAAAAAAGGATCAGTTTTTCATCCTTCAGGTTTTTTAGGGTTGAATAGTTTTAATATTCTCTTAAAGATGTTTACACACACAAACACACATATATATATATGTGTGTGTGTGTGTGTGTATATCCGGCAAAGTTTGATATGTATTTGATATTTATGTAAAAATCTGACAGTTGTCTCAAAAGTATGCAAATGTTCAGGGTGAAAGATTTCACTTTTTGTCATGAGAAACGTTTCCAGTCACCTTTTGGAAGTTAACCTCTCAGGGATGGAGTTATGAGCTACAATAAAACAATAAAATTGTGTCCGGGGCTGACAAATGATGCACCAGTCAATTAAAAAATCGGAATGAAACACAGCAGATTTAAACCAAAAGCTCTGGAAGCTCCCCCTCAGATCAAAAATAGTCAGAAAGCATAAAAAGTGGGATTATTTGAATTGTATGAACTTTCACACATAATCAATCCATAGGTCAAAATAAAAAAGATGTTTGGATCTTAGATTACTGAGCATATGCATTTGTTTTCTGTCAATAGAAATAAAATATATATCATAAAAAATATGATGGGAGCATTGAATTATCTTCCTTCACCACAAAAAGGGAGGTTGAGCCCTTTTTTTTTACTTTTCTCTGAACTAAAAGCTGTTTGCTCCTTTTGTTCACGGCCCTGCCTGACCTCTGCTCCTCTCATCCTCCTGCTTTGTTCACAGAATTTGCATTTCAAAGCCTCTCAGATTACAACTGTCAGCTTGTGTTTA